AAAAAAAAGAGGAAAACCAGTACATATATATATATATATATATATATATGTATTTTTCGTTTATCGGGGAAAATTAGGGATTATGATCCTTGTTTTTTTGGGTTGTTTCTTAAGCAAATAGTCGTTTCGTGCAGGAGCCAGCACGGCGCCTCTGCGGGCGGCGGCTTGGGAGCCGGCGCTGGAGCGATCTTCTGGGCAGGATGCCATATGTAGGGGACAGGATTAGGGGGACCCTTGGGGATATAGACCCTCTGAATAAGGTCCCCGTTTAAGAGAGCCACAAGAGGGCTCCCAGAAGGGTTCCCATTTATGAAGATAGCGGTCTCAGGGTTTAGGGGTTAGTGACCCCTATGCTAGACGTCCCCAAATGGTGGGAATCCCACAAAAGAAGGAGTCCCCTATTTCGGAACCCGCCATATCAGCTCCGTCCATAAAAAGAAGGAATCCCCTATCTTCGGAAACCACCATATCAGCTCCCGCGAACAGTGGAGATACCCCCTACATTGCTACAGCAACGTAGCAAGAGCTTGCGAGTTTGGGTCTAGGTGCCAAGTTGGGTCGGTTTGAATGTCGGGGGGAAGAATTCGGCATGATTAGGCCTTCTTCCTGGCCTGGGAAAGCCTTTTTTTGACTGCAGGGCAACTTGACCTGGAGCAAATCCCGCAGGATGAGTTGTCTTATAATGTGGCATCCTAAATACACGTGGCTCGTGCTTGAACACCCGTAATCATTCTGCCATCATTTCAAAACACTAAACCTAAATTTAAAGCCCATAACTCTAAACCCATAAGCCCAAATCCACAAGATTGGGTCGTCTCTGTCTCTTGGAGACTTTGTGTCACCTACTCACCCTTCGGGGGGGGGGGGGGGGGGAATGTCTCCATGCTGTAGACCACATTCCCGAAAAATTGACCAGCACTTTGACTTGGCTGCACTAGCAAAATATCATTAATTAGCTGCTTTATTCAGAAACCCAAGAAACCCCAAAAGGCTAAGGATCTAAAGTTACAGTAACGCACCACAAAGTTGAGGGTTGAGTGCTTGGATGGTGACCCTACGCCGGCAGCTGCGCCATTCCGCCTGTGCGGGCGCAGCGGGAGCCGCAGCAACTTCTGCAGACCGCCGCCGAAGGAGCCACAAAGAAAGCCTCGATAGGGCACCCCAAAAATAGCCCCAAGTAGTGGTTAGTAGGATCCCCTTACAATAAAGACCCTAACAAGCTACCTCTAATTTCGGAAAACCCCGCATAACATAAAGGGTGGTTGTCCTGACCTTTTGGAAGGAATCGTATACCGAGTATTGAATCGTAGCTGCAAGGCTTTGGTAGTTAGGCTGGGGGCATGCCATTGGCGATGACAACAGCCACTGCCCACTTGTACAACTGGTAGTGAGCTTAAACGCTCTGAACACAGGCTGGTCTCCAAGTCCTATGACATCGAAAGCACAAAGATGCCGTACTTGGAGGTTCATGGGTAGTTATAAGTAGGGCGATAAGTAGGGGAACAATGCTGACATGACAACCTTACTTAGGGTACTTATAACCCTGCGTATAGCTACCCAGTAACCTCCAAGTCGAGCTGTACATTGTAAGAAGTTCAACCCATTCCCCCTACTATTACTATAACTTTTTTTAATCACTATTTGTTTCAGTAAACCCTAAACCCTAAGCCCTAAGCCCTAAACCCTAAACCGCTCTCAGCAACGGACGCAAACCCAAAGCCCGATGAGCTCTTCACTCAGCCGCCGGCGCTGCAAGCGATGCAGTGCCGCAAACACCGGCAAGCACCGCCGACGAGGCTGGGAGCCTGCTTGGGGTTGAAAAGGGGTTTAGGGTTTAGGGTTGGGTAATCAGAAGTAGGGTTTTAAGTACCCTGAAATAAGGTTTGCAACCGCATATAACGACTTATCCCCCTAAACCCTAAACCCTAAACCCTAAACCCTAAACCCTAAACCCTAAACCCTAAACCCTAAACCCTAAACCCTAAACCCTAAACCCTAAACCCTAAACCCTAAACCCTAAACCCTAAACCCTAAACCCTAAACCGTACCTATCACTACCCATGCACGAGCTGCTTCTTCGCATGGGCATTTCCCCCCCCAAAAAAACGTGGAACTCCCCTTTCACAGCTAGTGGAGACCATGTGGGATGTGTCCCGTTATACTAACAATCCTTAATAATTAGGGATTATAGTAACCCCAACAATCATCCCTTTTAAGGACTGTTAGTATGAGCCTCCCAAGAGACCATTTCCATTTTCTAACCATGCACCACCCCCGAGTCCCCCCAAACCAGAAAAAGCTAGGCCTCAACCTTCAACCCACCGAAAGGGTTTAGGGTTTAGGGTTTAGGGTTTAGGGCCCACATGATGAAACCCAGACTATGGAACCACGCATACCTCGATGGAAAATAGCATGCTCAACCCCATTGCAAGCCCCACCTGATCGAAAAACCCAGAACACCCAACCCGAAACCCCGTAGAAAATGGAAATGGTCTTCTCTAAAAAACCGTCTATAATAGGATTAGGGTTTAGAGATAAGGCAAAACCAGTGTGTCGTTATAATCCATAACAACTTAAGGAGTACAACTACATTATACTCATGTTTGATTAACCGGCATTTCAATAATTATTCCGTCCTTGTGATATATATATATATGGTTGCATACCTGTATGTATGTATATATATATGCACACATAATATGTATCTGCAACTGCAACACCCACCCGTTGGCGTGCGGCCTGGCAGGCATGGGCAGCGGCATCTGTGAAGGGGTCACTGTGCATTTGATGGGGGCCCTACTTGAAGGTTCAAGTGTTGCTATGAGTCGGGTTATAAGTACCCTAAATACGGATATATGAGTATAACCCCACATATAACTACCCATGAACCTCCAAGCACTTGAAGGTTCAAGTGTTGCAAAAAGCAGGACTATGATATACGTGCCTGCAAAGCTTGCTGGGATGGCCCTTAACGCCCTCTGAAAACTATTCCTAAACACGATCCTCTTAAACCCAATAAGGGAAAATATCAAATATCCCAAGGGCCTACCTACCTTGAAGCTGTTGGCGAGGCTCCAGTAAAGTTTGGCTGGGTCGTGACGGTGCTGACAGCATGGTTGAGACTGCGGGAAGACGGGCCAGAAAGTCCGGCCGAGATGACCTCAAACCCAACCCAACACCCTAAGCCCGTTCAATACTACCCAACAGAGAATAGAATCCCCTTAAAGGGACCCCCCCAAAAGGGTACCCCTTATTTTCGGAAACCCCATATCCTAAACCCGGAACCCGAAACCCACAGCATCAGTAGCTTGTCAGAAGAGCAACGCCGTTTTGCAAGGTCTTTGCGTCACGATGAACGTGAAATACGATCAGGGGCCTGCTTACTTAGAAAGCCTTTTTTGGGGGACAGAGTCTCTACATGTTGGGATGTTCCCCCTTATACTAACGGTCCTTCACAGGGATCATAACTCTTACTATAATCCCGATTAAAGACTGCCAGTATAATAACGGGGAACATCCCAATGCAATTCCTTGCTGATTTTCTGAACACCTACCTCACCAACTCGACGCCCTAAGCTTCCCTAAACCCCAAACCCTAAACCCTAAACCCTAGGCCCTAAACCCTAAATCGACTGCCCGAACCCTTTGGAGAGATCGCGGCGCAGCTCCTCAGACCCTGCCCTCTGCAAAAACAAACCAAATCAGGTTGTCCCAAGGTTGGGATGTTAAGAGTCCTTAGGGGTTAGGGTGCAGGGTCTTCATAGGGACTATAGTAGGGGGTACTATAATCCCTAACCCTCAACACTCAACCCTAAACCTCTAGTATAAGGGGGGAACATCCCAATCGCAATGTCCTAAGAGGCAGCCAGGTAGGGAACCTCTTCAACAAAACCCTTCTTTTAAGGTCCTAAACCCAATATGAGTGAGCACCTAGCCTCAACTTACTGAGAGGGGAACTGAATATTAGGACTATGTGGGGAGGACTACATGAACCCTCAAAATGTTCTTCTTGTCCCTATCAACCCTGAACCCTCATCCCTAAGCAAGCGAGCGCTTTCAAGGTAGCACACTACTTGGAGGTTCATGGGAGTTCAAAGTAAGGTTACTTGTAGCATCACCTTCAAGTACTTCAGGAGCAACTGTAGCTCATCCGATGAGATGCTGGTTACCCATGGCGACTGTTGTTTGAGGACATTTGGGTTGAGGTCGCTTTAGATGCAGCAAACCTTTGGTTAACCATAAGCTGGGGTTTAGGGTTGAGAGAGGGAGGGGGGTTTTGCTTGGAGACCCTTTTCTGCGCGAAGCTCTTAACGTCACGCCGTTCGGTGGTCAGCCTCATCCATGGTTCCGGCATTGGAAACCGCAGCTCCCTAAACCCTAAACCCTAAACCAGCTGAACCCCAACGAGGCTGGGAAGCCCAACCCCCTAAATCCTGAACCCCTCAACTGGAGCCCTAAGCAAGTGCGCTGAGCTGGGGAACAGGCAGTGGCAACACACTAGCAGAGCTACCCCCTAAACCCTAAACCCTAAACCCTAACCCCTAAACCCTAAACCCTAAACCCTAAACCCTAGAGTCAACATGTGATATGCTCATGGTAGTGCCCTGAGTTGCAGAAAAAATGCGAGCAGCAGCGCTTGTCCAAGCCTTGCCTTCAAAGATTGCCTAAATCATGCCGCATCATCGGTTGCAGGTATCTGAAGGTCCTATCCCCATCCTTTGTTTGCTTAGGAACGCTCCAAGAAACTAAAAGATGATGATCCCTATATTGCCCTTGGAAGGGGGTTCTCAAGCATGTAGTAGTCATGACAAGTTCGAACTGTGTACTTTCAGCCGGAGCCGGTGGCAACTGCTGGGAGGTTCAGGGTACTTATAACCCAATGAAAAAAGGGTAGTTATAAACCACGTATAAGCCCCATAAGAGCCCCAACAGGGTGATAGTTGGGTTGTAAGTACAATTGGGTTACTAAGTGCCATGAACCTCCAAAGAGTCTAGAGCTC